AGCGCAAAGAAGCAGCAGCAGTGTGCAAGTGGTAAGCGTACTCCAAGTGGTAGAGTGTGATGAGTTCCAGGTAGACGACCATGTCCAAGTCGCGTAGAAGCTCGCCCAACATCTGGATGCGCTTCCTCTTCGCATCCAGTCTTCTCTGCTTGGTTGCCTTGTCCTTCTCGCGCTGTTCAGCCTCCTCAAAGCGTGCTAAGGCATCCTCCAGATCGGCCAGGTGGGATGCAGCATCATTCTGGCGCTGTGGAGCTCGAGACGACTCGGCCTCATCGTTCATGGCGCAGCGAGAGGAGTTTTGCCTGCCGCCCCGTCTCTCATTGAAGGCGACGTGGTAGGTTGGTGTTGGTAGAGATGCTTGACCCAGGCAGTCGTTGTTCGCGAAGCTCTGGTGATGTAGGTACAGCTGCGCGCATCGGGCCTGGAACATCAGGAAGGGCCGATGGCCGAAGTGGTGAGATAATCGATTGCTCCGCATCTTGAAGCTATACACAACCCACTCTGCACGTGTGATAGCGCTTCCAGAGCTTCTGTACAGCCTCAGTTTGCGCATCCACACATAGCGCCGTGCTCCAAGACTGCAGGTTCGTGCAAAGAACCTGCCACTGTATTCACATACCCACGCGACACCTCCGCCACCTCCGCATCTGCATACCACCCACCATGTCTTTTGGACCTCCAAACAGCGCGCCGCTTCCCTCTTCTTTCGATGAGAATGCGTATGTAGAGACTCAGACATTGAATCATGTGCACATGGAATTCGTCTACTAACGATTTGCTCAGCGACTTTTACAATGAAAACACCATCGACAAGATATGGAGACGCCTTCGCGAAGAGCCCCTCGTTCCCCTCGGCTGCGGTCTCACCGTCTGGGCCATTGTCGGCGCCACCCGCTCAATGCGAAAAGGTGACCACAAGATGACCAACATGTACTTCCGCCGACGTCTATATGCTCAAGCCTTCACAATCGCTGTACTGGTAGCAGGAAATATGTACTGGCAAAAGGATCGTGTGAAGCGCAAGGAGTACGAGAAGCAGGTTGCTCAGAAGGAGCGCATGGACAAGAGGGACAGGTGGCTGAAGGAGTTGGAGATGCGAGACGAGGAAGACAAGGCCTGGAAGGAGAGGATGGCCAAGAAAGCGAGGGGAGCAGCAGAAGAGGCCAAAGGTGTCACTGACATGGTGGCCGAGAAGACAAAGGAGCTGAAGGATCAGACTGTCGGCAAATAAACATGAGAGGTCATAAAGAGCTCAGCTACGGTTGAAGATGGTAGCATCACGGGGATTGCTTTCAAGAGGAGGATTATAGAGGGACGAAATGGAGTGCATATCGCCCTTCGAACGACACACCCTCGTTGTATATATACTGCACACTGTACGAGTATGGTCTGGGAATTTGGGACCGTTCCATCATGAGCAATCTGTCACTTCACGAACTGTAACATAAAACAACACATCATACCCAATCACATATTCACATTTTGTCTATACTGCCGCTCGCCACTTCAAATTGACATTGAACAGAGAGAACAACATTTCACCTCGTTGCTGTGAACAAGAGTGGTCTATATATTGTGGCTTCAGTTCATTGTTCTCTCTGAGTCAACCCCCAACGTCTGCCATGATACTGTCCAGACTCGAAATAGCAATGTCTTCTAACCCCTTAAATTCAACGCCATGCTGCGAGCAGTGCGATACGCCCCGAACATACGATCAGTTCATCGCAAACCATACGACTAGCAAGCCACTAGGACTGTTCGAAGCGCACGACGTCTGTGCCATTTGCCAATTGCCCTACGGCAGCGAGAATCTCGCCTTCGAAATGCTCGACATGCCACTAGAAATCACGAATATCTTGGGCTGCAGACACGTCTTCGGATCTGCTTGCGTCAAACAAATGAGTTGGGATAACATAGATGGGTGCCACCAGTGTTGTCCACTCTGTCGAACAGAATGGTGGCTGGAACCAGATCCCTTGAACTGCGATATAACCGACGCTATCAAACATAGGAGATCCGAGAACATAGCCAGAGACTTTCAAACCGACTATGGCACAGCTAGGCATCTTCTGTACAACGAGCCTGAGTATGCTGATTCGTATGTGCCGTTCGGACTCGAAGAGCTGTGGTCGAAGCTCAACCTCACCCGTATGATAGGCAGTGCTTTGGCCACGGAGGCGATACAGAAGCGTATACAAAGACTGCAAGAAGGGCGTATCATTTCCATAGCTGAGATCGCCTACCACCCAAAGAAGGTCCTGGAGGGAAATTTAATGGTTGATCCTTTTACATTCAACAACTATCACCTACCGATAAACAGTATGAAACATGCTATCCTCGGGACGCTGGGGTCGATGCGAGGTTCTCGGCTCTGGCAGATGTATATAGATGTGGTGCCTCAAATGAACGGGGTTAGAGATGAGTCCTGTTTGGTAGCTATCGAGGATGAGTGGGTGAAAATGTTTCCAAACGATCAAAGAGATTGGGTTGGACTGGTACTCAATATTCTCTGGATAGTGGATCTGGTCACTCTAGAAGAAGACGCTTTAGAGGACACGTCACAGGAAGCTTGAGTGAGATTTGAGAATATCGTAGCGTAGGAAATAGGTCACCAAATATCATTGGCTGTATATATGAGCAGTTCTTTGAGACAGTAACGACGAGAATGATGTCTTCCTGGATATGTTTGGTGACCACAACGTAGTTTGACAGATGTACTAAGTCTGACAGGTTGTGCTCGCCATAGATGTGAATGCATAGGAAGGAAGAGAAACTCGAAGCGAATTACTTGCTTGAAAACAAAAAAAGAAGATGACCTAGCATCCTGGTCGCGATAATAATGGGCGCTGAAAGTCTGTAGTAGCCAAGCTGAGGAAGAGCATGGAGAACTAGCGCCGGAACATGCCGCCCAAAGTCTTGGCAAAGGACACGCTTACGTCTGTGTCGGCGCAGCGTTGACAGCTCCGCGTTCACTCTTTCCGAATCAGCAACGATGAGGGTTCTCCAAGGTTTCGTTTCTTCCCTCTTACTCTCGGGCTCGGCCATTGTGTCTGCAGCTTCTTCTTGGAGCTTTGAAGATGCTACCGTGACTATTTCCAGCAAAGGTGCTGGTGTTGGCGGAGGTTCAAAGGACAAGTGAGCTCAAGCTTGCATTCGGTGCAATGGTTGCAGGACTAACCATCATACAGACTGAGTCCCTCGACACCGCTGGGTAAATCTGTATCTTTGGGCGCGACCGATACGTTGAAGCTCGTCCTCACAACCCTCGACGGAAGCACTGCGAAGCGACCTCATCAGGCGTTCCTTACTCTGACTGAGCCAACGACGGGCTTGGAGGAGTCTTTTGTGTTCAATGTGAAGGACAGTGGCAAGGGAAAGGTGGATTTGGTATGTTGTACGTGCCAATGGCTGGCAGCACAGCTAACATCTCCAGTCTCACAAAGACCTACCCCACCAATTCTTGACCTCTGAGAAGCCTATCGTCGCATCGATTGTCATCGGATCGTTTGGGTCTTCCGCACCATACAAGAGCAAAGCGTTCGATCTCGCCGTTACCCGCGACCCTAGCGTCCCCCTCAGCGTCCCCGCGCCGCCCGTCCGCTACGCCGCCGAATCTGAGATTCACCACATCTTCCGCGATGACCCCAAGTCTCCACCCAAGATCATAACAATTGTCTTCGCGGCTGCTGTTGCTGCTGCGCTACCTATCCTGCTTGGCGCGTGGGCTATGCTGGGCGCAAATGCTAATCATCTTAGCAAGGCGCTTGGCAATGCACCTGTGTCGCATGGCCTCTTCTATGGCTCCATACTGGCCATGGAGGGCATTTTCTTCCTATACTACACTAGTTGGAACCTCTTCCAAACTTTGCCAGCGGCAGCTGTCGTAGGAGCTGTTGCCTTCTTGAGCGGTAGCCGGGCCCTGTCGGAGGTTCAAGAGCGGAGACTCGCTGGACAGAGATGAACAAAGCTCAAAACTCGGTCTGATCATGTACGTTGGATGTATAAAACTTAGATGTAAGAGGAAACGCCAGAAGAGGGAGACGTTACTCTGAGGTATGAGAGAAGGCAATATTGCGAGTACTACCACAGAAAAGCATAAATGTGGAGTAGTCTGCTTAAAAGTTATAGGCTGTGGCTTCACTGCGATTGCAATCAGTCCACGCATGACTGACAAACTCGTATTCACATCTGTTCCCTGTGTTTCTCCCACTCTCTGCGTGTTTGAATGAAACTTTGTCTCGACTAAAGGGTAAGCATATACTGAGTGCGATTGGCTACCCAGATATGTCAAGTTCTTTTTGTACGTAGCCTCCTCATCACAGCGCTGCTTGGGTATGGCGCAGCTCGACGCAGCTTCAAATTGCATCTCCCCACCATCATCATCCAGTTAACACTCATCTTTCCCCAAGTCAACGTTCCTGACACCTCCACTCGTGCAATGTTTTAGTTTCATCTTACGAGATACTTTAGTAACTATCAACAGCCTGGAAGAACACTAAAACGATCGAGGCGCAAGGCTGGCGCAATACGTCAGTCTCACTTCTCGCGGACAACATCCGGGCAGATAATACATCCTCCCCTAATCAAGACCAGATTAGGATTATGGATTGGTTTCAAGAAGAAGAAATGTTACTTTTAAGAAACCTTTTTAGCGTAAAGCAGACATTCTGCTAATATAAGAAGAAACAAGCCCCTACTAGTAGTTAATAGTTATTAGCCTATGCGGGTTTTCTGCAAGTGTAGGCGCTACCTAGGATAGAGGAGAGTCTAGTAAAGAGAGATTACTAATGAGAAGTTAAAATCAGCATATTAGCTGAATCCGCAAACTACGCATGCGAATACCGAGAGGGAAAGCTTCTGATTTGGAAGGCAAAACCACAAATATCACTATACCGCATTGCTTTGAACTCTTTGGGTAGACTCACTCTTTATAGTCCCGCTAAGAATGGTTGAAAAAGCTCTATTGACTATCTCGAACTGAGGGCCGAGGTCTTTGCTTTCTAAATCCAGTTCAGTAAACCATCGGCATTCTCTCGTCCTACAATACCCTCTTCAATTATCTGATCCAACACCTTCGGCACATCTGCACTCCTCGCCTTCCAAGTCTCTCTCGACATTTCCGAACCACTCGCCACCGTCTTCAATATCTCTGCTACAACTGCCTTGGCATCTGCCGTGCTCCGCACTCCAGTCGCACCAGCTTTCTCTGCGTAGCTTCTACCTCCTCGATAGAAGACGCCAGCATTGGAAACCAGAGTTGGTCCGCTCTTCGCCCAAGCAGGCTTCGCGTTTTCGAAGAGCGAGATCCGGAAGCGGAAGAGATCGGTATCACCTCTCGCTATGAAGACATCGGCCAGTCGCGATGCGGATAGAATGGAGGCGTACGGTGCAGCGGATAGCTTTGTAAGCAGATTTTGGGTCTGCGTGAGAGCTGTCCATTGGATATCGATATCTGTGCTGAAAGTGGGTGCTGATGGAATGTATTGAGTGCCATCCGCAAGTGCTGAAGCGAGATCCATGAGCGCGTCAGCATAGGCGGACTGAACGTTGGTTGATGCGAGATCAGGACTTGAACGTTGTCCGGCGTTCTGTACCATGTCGCTGAAAATTTGCTCCACGGTTTCTGCATACTCTGTCGATGTCGTTCTGCCACTACGGTATTGTACTTCCGCTACGCTGGCCTGGAAACTGGCAGACGCGAGGATAGCGTCATCTTTGGGTGTTGTTGTAGCTTCTTCTGGTGTAGAACCTATCGAAAGTGTTGGGCCTGCTTTGGGCTCATCGACAGCTTTCGGGGCTGGTGACTTGTCAATAAGGTCTATGAGCGTCGGAATTTTGTTCGTCGCTGTATCTATTCCATCTTGGGCTTTCTTCTCTATGTTTGGTAGGTCTGTAGCGGAATTATACAGTCCTAGTAATGTTGTCAATGCACTAAGTTGCGCCGTGCATGTTTCCAAAATGCTTTCTGGTGTCAGCGGCTCTTCAACAGTGGCCCAATCGCCTGGGGCCTCCGAACCCCCCGAATCGGTCTCCGTGTCTTCTTCCTGCGTTTCTGCTGGCTGTTGTCGCTCACCTTCCCAGGCCTCCTGGTACTCACCGGATGCTTGGATCTTGGCAATTTCAGCTTGCATCTGAGAATACTCTTGCTGTTGGTTTTCCAAACACTTGGTAAAGATTTCAACCGCTTCCTCGAGTAATGGTCTTGCATCATGCCTTGCGGTAGCTTGCGGGCTAGCTTCCAGACCGGCTTCCGCTAGTGAGGTGAGCACCTGCGCAGCGTTGAAGAGGATGTCGGTGTTCGTTGGATTTAGTGAGATGGCAAAGCGATGCGACATCAAAGTCTCCTCTAGCAAGGCAATCCTATTTCCAAAATGTGAGATAATGCGCTCATCTTCGGAAATGGTGTACTGGAGATTTGCTCTAGTCTTATTAGCATTAAGCATACAATTATATGAAAAACGCCTTACTTATTGTAGGCAAGGTCGAATGACTGAGGATGACGCTTTAAGCCTTCATTGTAGGCGTCAATCGCTCGGTTGAAGAAGCGAACGGCTTTCGCGGCGTCGCCTGCGCGCCATTTCCCTGCCGCTTGCTCGAATTCATCTGCAGCCTCGAGAAAGTCATTCTCGGTCTCTGGCTCCGGCGGCTTTATCTTGCCCTTAGGCTTCGGCTTCAGAAATTTCTTCGGTGGCATAGTGATGGTTGGACGTAATAAAGAGGTTGATGTAGTGCGGGCCGTATTAATAGCTAGGTATACGTTGGTAATCGACGTCTAAGTGGCAAATTTGCGCAAGTGCGACAAACGATTTCTCAGCAAATGGACATTGCGCGAAACACAATTCTCAATCAAGCGACCTCGACAGGACTGTGCCTATTGCCATATCACTAGGTCGCGAGCTTTCTGCTGCACCAAATCTTCCCGATCGCCCCGCCCCCACTTGCCCGAGCCTCACGAACCTCGATGCTTCCACAATCTTCACCTCAACTTCTCCACGTTGAATTCATCCCACAGCAAGGTCTTGTCTACCAGAAACCCATTGTCGTCAAACACCACCCCCTCGTCTTTTAGCAGCTGCAATTTCGAGTTTTGGTTCTGTCCGCTGGGGGCTTTCTCCCAGTCACCCTTGTATCCGCCAACGAACTGTCAATATTAGTGCCGACGCTCGCATACTGGAGCAAGCATACGTACACCAGTACTGGCGATACATCGATGACACGGCACCTCTGGACAAAACGGATTGACACGCAGCGCGCCGCCTACCGCACGAGGGGAGCTGTTCAAGGCCTTTGACATGGCGGCGTAGGTCGTGACGCGTCCTTCCGGAATCATCTGGAGGGCTGTATAGACGCGCTCTTGATATGGCGTAACCTTTTGCTGCTTGGACATGCTGAGGATGCGATGCAGTTGCATTGACGCGTCTTCGGGACGTTTTACGTTGGCGCGCTCTCACGTGGTGTGCTTTCAAATTGACCACTCACAGACCAGAGTCACATGAGCTACCCAAATCGGATGTTTTGCAGGAAAAGAAAATCACTGAAGACACAGCAAGGACAGAACATGAAAAGAACAACAAGATCGCTATACAATTGGGAATCTTGCCCCAAGCGGTGCTCTCAAAAACTCGTACGAATACACACGAAAGTTGACCAGGAAAAGTCAAAGACTGATTGGAGTACTGCGTAACAAATCCTTCAAAAGGATATGAGACTCTGTACAAAGGTACCAAGTGAACTTCAAGGAGCGGTACTCCGGCACATACGCTTGGCTACCACCCCTAAGATCGCCATCAATGCTGCGACCAAGAAGTGACCAGTCTTACCTGGACTTCAGGCGCCTCGCAGGACTTGCGGTTCTCAAGATGTACATTATCCACGCAACGATTTTCTCCGCTATCGGGACCTTTTGCCATTGTGATGGGCATGAGAACAAAAGAATGTACACTCGACCGCACGATCGGCCTTCTTACTTCGCACAACACACTTCAAAAGGATACACGTCCGACGAACTGCAGCTAGCAACATCATGAGGCGTCATTTCTGGCAACCACACTCGATGACTGCCCTATAGTCTCACAGATGTCTCAGGTCGGCTTGACCACCAGCGCGGTCCAGCGTCTTTAGGTTTGGCACTAAACAGTCATCATCAATTCCGCACGGTCACCTCGCAACGACTTGCTCTGATCTGGTACCGCAGCGGGCCGAGCTCCACCAGAGCTCACAGGGCTGTATAGCACTTACGTCTGGTGATTCGTAGACACTGAAGTAGTCGCGCCGTGCCGCCCTCCCTTATCCTTCTTGCTCCGTTTGACTAACGGGTACGATCAAAGCATGAACCTGGACAGGGTCGTTATGGCCCCGCAGTGTTCAGTCTCTTACAAACACATACTGTCAACGATGTATGTCATATCTGTGATATCTACGTCGGCGGCTACCAACATCCAGCGGTTAGATTGCATGCAACCAGCAGCCTAAAAGACTAGGTCGATTCTAGATGCAAGGCATCTCAACACAACGGCTAGTAACGTCAGAATGTGTCCGGCACGCAGACGGTTGCTTTTGGGAAAGAGTCTAGACTGGATGACGATGAGGAGTATGGAAGAAACACGACTCTCTCGAGGTTCCACCAACAAAACTTTGACAGTCCTCCAAACGAAATGGACCGTACTCTGGCATTATGCTGATTATAATCATCGCAAATTCAGAACGGTCAAGCTTCGCATCGCAATCATCAATAGGTAAGAGGTGTTTGCTGATGAGACCTCTGACCCCCCTGCATGTAGACGCGTTCAGTGTCAGCGTGATATGCCGATTTTGACATCTCATTGGCAATCTCCCTTCACTAGACTCTCCTCTATCCCAGGTGGCGCCCACACTTGCAGAAAACCCGCATGAGCTAACGACCACGTGACTACTAGTAGGGGCTTATTTCTTCTCATATTAGCAGAGCACGAATGAGCGTGCAAAACCAGGATCAGCTGGTGTGGTGGATTAAGCGCGGCTCTGACGGTGGAGGGCACTATTGAGAGACCGGCCCTCCGCCCGACTCGTAAGTGAGACCGTTGAGATTAGCAGAAAGGAATATTTTCACCGTCGTGAACAAAGGACATGTTGGAATGTTCCTGATGAGTCGCGACTGGCGAGGCTTTTGATGCGTTGTCAACGTGGCGAGGCCGATCAAGCGCTCAGCCTCAAACTAACCTGAAAAGAGCCGAGGTGATGCACTTAGCCACACTTCAGCTTGCTGAAGACGGACCTTCCGGCTCGACGGCATAATGCCACAACCCAAGAAGCGAACCTGCAGGATTTTCGTCAATGCATGAAGATGGTCACGAGAATAGCAACAGGAGTTGCAGGAACCGTTGGTCGTGCCTCGCGAAAATCGCTCAGAGAAGCATGACTCTTCTGCATGGGCAGGCCGCCTGTTGCCCTGCGGGTCCTGATTGAACAGTCAGACAACCCTCGACTGTGAAGGCTTCTCAACGAATGTGCTTTCTGGCCTGTTCAAGACAGGTGCATGCGAGCCCTGAGTGCCTGTATCGGTCCTTCTCGAGTGCGATGGAGTATCCGATGGCTGATCATCGCGTGCTTTGAACGGCTGAATGCACTCGGGGGGAACACTGGTGTAGCTGGACGCATATTTTTGCAAACGAGTGTCGTCGCGACTTGACGACTGCATTTGTAGGCCACTCGCTAAGTCTTCAACTTCAGCTCTCTATCATGCCAGCCCTGTCACGAGACGAGTGTGAAAAATTGATAGCAAACACGAGGCTTCTGGCAAGGGTTGCTGAGCATCTGAAACGGCATCAAGTTGGTGGGTAAACGACGGGTAAGGGCAACCTGATAGCCAATTGGGCATTCCGCTTGGCTGGCGCGCTCCAGGTCTGTCTACGAATCGTCACCCACCATGGCCGTTCAGCAACTCAACTGGCTGCCCCCAATCTTCAAGCCAAAGACCTCCACCCGCCTATCCAGGCGCAAGCGCCCGTAATAGCCCACCATGTCTCCGTGCCGGATCAGCCCAACTTTGCAAGGCCGCCGACGCCGGTTCTTTGCAAGAATAAGTCTGCGCGTATTGAATGCGTCCGTCGCGACGTTATACATATGCAAGCCTACGCACCCCGCAACCGCAACAAGCGTCAAAACGCTCCTAACCAACAGATCGCGCCGTTGAGCTTACCAGATTCACTATACTATCGCATCAGCCAGGACTGCTTCATTTGCGCATCTGGACTGGTCCTCCGCTTTCAAGACGGCTCATCCGCGAAAGCCCCACTGAGGCGACTCACGGAGGAAGCCCCGCGCTTGGACGGTTGACCCTGAGGGAAGAATAGACGGGACGCGTGAGCAAGCTCGAGTATAATATCACTCGTCGTCTCGTTGCTCCCTGTACGCGTCGTTGTCGATTTTCCTGGTCCTAACTGCGATATCCCTGCACAGCCCCAGCTCGGGCTTTGCCGCTGCGCCACACCCATCTACGATCCTCGGGCCCGCCGATAGATGTGGCACACGAGAAAGAGTCTGAAGACCTCACCGTAACTCTGCACGGGGACGTAGGACTGCATGTACTTTGTGGCTGGATGACTTATATTGATGGACTTGCAATCTCACGCCTTTGTAATATTCCGAATCGCCACCCCCGTCCCGTTATTCTAGTCTTCCAGCCATCAGCCGCTCGCACCGTCAATTCGCTTCACGGCTTCCCGAGCTGAACCAGCTGACAGTTCCGGACTTTCGACTTTCTGGTACCCTGCGTTCAAGTTACTCAATTCAAGAGTCTTACAGGTGGAGAAGCACATGCTTTCATGAGTCTCTCGGCGCACACAGGGTTCCGTTGTACATCAATCCGGGCTACACAGGGTTACCCGAAATGGCTTCCTATAAGTCACAATACCCTCCACCTAGGAGGACGGAGGACCGGGCGCCTACTACTCGGTTGCCTCAACGATCTATTACTCCTACCACTATCACCACAATCACATCCAACCCACCTACATCAAGCCAGTCTAAGCTGCAAAAGAGAAGGCCTTCAAGGGATGACGAGTTAAGCTCAAGAGGTCTTACAGGTCAACAAGGCTCTACGCAAGCAGCCAGCTCTCGTCCAAGGAAGACCAGCCGGTCTACACCTATGTTTCCTCAACACCCAAGTGTCACAACCTCGAAACCTTCGCCACAGATCTCGACCTCAAGATTACCCAAGCTTGAAGTTCCTCTAAGTATACGTACGCCTTCGCTCGCCTCGGGCTCATCCGCGTCGACCATTGAAAGCCCTCGCTCGAATGTACTCAGGAGAAAACAAACAAGTGTTGGAGCCGCAAGTGGTCGGCAAGCCACGCGGATAAGAGACGACTCTATATCGTCCCAAGATGACAGGCAGTTGATGGAGGGCATACCTGGAGGATATAAAGATCCTTTCTCGGAGACAGTCCTGGGAATCTCTTTACCCCCATCTTCGACTATCCTAGCTTGTTCAGAAGGACAGATCGACTCGTACAGTAACCCGCTCTATGATTATGAGATTGGCCCTACAGACATACTTCCCCTCCCAACACCGCAGTACGCTCTCTCTGCAACACCCTCGACTCGATACTCAGATTCACCTGGACCTTTCAGTGTATCATCCACTCCTACGTCGATGTCGTCCTACTCGCCGGGGACAACATTATCCAGAGCCTCAAACCGAACTCGGCAAGCCAGTCCACTGCAGAGCAGGCCACCAGTCACTCGGCACAAGACTCCAGATGAAACCAACACCCGTCACCCTCACACACTTTCTACTGTCAGGGAATCCTCCACCTCGTCATCATCCGCGTCTACCGTTGTTACGGATGTAGCGAAGCACAAAGATGTCCAGTCCCCTAACGGTCTCGCCACCTTACCCCAAAGTCCTCGAGTATCTGAAGTTATGTATAGCGCAGAAGAGAAATCTCGTATCCAGGCACCTCCGGAGTTTGCTCATCTTGCTGATCAGTCGCCTGCACCGGTACCGACTGCAAGGCGACCTTCGAGACCTAGTAGAGATGGTACTCCTGAACTATCTGGACTCCGCGGTCCATCACCAATAATCCAAAGCAATATGCTCAACTTTCCGTCTCAACACAAAAGAACTCCCTCGTCTGAATCTAGGACTGGTCTCACTTATGCGAGATCTAAAAGCAATACATCAGCCAAACCTTCATCACGAAACCCTTCGCCAAATCCCGCTTCGGCATTGCCGACAGCTACCAGAGCACAAGTTCGTGGACCGACACCTGATTTCCAGCATGATCGAAAGCCACGAAGGACCAGTACCGGACCTGCACCAGCGCCCGCACCTGCTCCAAGCCCGAGTAAAACCTCTAGATTCGGGTTCTTCACGCGTCGTACCAAGACTGAGCCTACCCCAGTAGCGAAGTCTGAGAGCAAGCTTCACAGAAGAGGACCAGCTGCCGGTACTGGCCACGAAGGCTATGGAAGATATGCAGTCAGAGGTCGCAGTGGAAGCTCAGTCAGTACCAACAGCATCGGACGATCCGCTAGCGCTGGAACTACCTCTGAGAGCTTGGACAAAACACCCTCAACTCGCAAAAGTAGTATGACTAGCACAACAAGCGGGGAGGTGGATGACTTTTTCCTCAATCGCCTCGCTCCTGTCGTTATTCGAGGTACGGGGACTAGCTCGGAACTCTCAAGAAGCCCAGAACCAATGCAATCTAGCAGCAGCCTGGATGTCTCCATCAATCAAGGATTCGAACTAAACAAGACTATGAGCAACTCATCACAATCGGTATTGGAGAAGAACCGGCCAACACTGTTACCGTCCGCGATGCCAGACAATGTACGCAATGGATCTCCCATAAAAAAGATGACTCTAGGACTGCGAAGGCCTTCTGAGAGCGACGATGATACAAAGAGATCATTCCTACCTGCCATGGCCTCAAAGCGGACATCACGGGCTTTGCAAACTGCCCAGGGCCCTAGTGTACCATCAGGCTCGACAAGTCGGATCGCTGGAAAGGTTCGCAAGAACTCTATAAGTGAAGCTGCCGCTGAGATCAAGGAGGGTAGCTGGTTGAAGTCCTCAAAGAAGACCAAAGCTGAGAAGGAAGCCCCCAAACCTCCGAAACGATGGAACTTCTTCCAAAGGGCCCATGCCGGACCTCGCACGGCGACACCAGCGGCTCCTGCTGTCAGTCCCGTGAATCAAGCGACTGCTTCCCGCTCCGTTGCGCATTACGCATTGATGGACCAGTCTGGTCTTGAGCTAGACGACATCGAACAGCTAATGCAGGAGGTTGACGAGGGAACCGAGAGCGCCCTCTCTGACGATGAACCAGGAAGAAGAGAGCGAATGCAGTCTATGCTGCTTCCGCCCAAAGCAGTGATGCCGTCCAACTCTGCAGCAGCTGTACGCTCGGCTTCGCCTAAGGTCTTTCTGCGCTCAGAAGCACAACCACAGCCGGAACATCAACAAAGTAAACTAGGTATTGATACAAGTTTCCGAGCGTTATCCCGAAATTCGGAACGTTACTCGCTGGCAGATTTGACTCCGGTCACGGATCTCTCTCGACCCTCATCACCCTTTGGTGAGCCATCGCCAGTTCGTGACGAAGATCCTGCGCCACCTCTCGAAGCAGTAGCTCCCTCGCAGCCTGAGCCTGAGTTCGCTCCCGAGGTACCTGCTCAAGATGAGTTCGTACTTCCTCAGGATCTCCCATCACCTGGTCCACCGCCTATGAGCCCACCGCCTCGCCCAAGTCGCTTGGCTCAGGTTGGGCGTATTCCTCAGGTCGTCTCAAGTCGTCGTCAGCCACACCAGCCGTCTTCACAGTCATTCTCTCGACCCTTTGTATCGAATCAACCTCGTCCGGCAGCTCCTCCCCGGACATCTTTTGACTCAATTGGTTCCGTTGTTGCCTCTGCCGGTCCAGTAGAGCCATACCCTATTCTGCATGGCTTGAACGCCCTCAATCATGGGTCGGCTATAGCTACGATCAGTCCTATGGAGGACGAAGCCAACCGTCGAAGCGAATTCTTCAAGTTTCCACCTCGCAAAGACTCTGAAGTATCATACTCGAGTAGCTCAGGCATATGGAGCTTCGCCCCCGCTATTGGTACCGCTGTCGTGCCAAGTCCCAGCGCCCCGTTGTCAGAAGATGAACTTTGGAACGAGTATGACGATTTGATCGACGAAGTGCTCTCGCCTGTCACCTCTCGCACGAATGAAGACAAAAATAGCCTTCGCAGCCACCCGTCGCTCGAACCAATGCCCCTGCGACCTAAGGCACCGCGTAACGTTTCAGCATCAGACAACGACGATGAGGTTACGAACCCCTCACTTCATCTTCGTCGCTCTCGCCTACTGGCTGTTCTGCATTCCACGCAGTCTCCTACTTCGTCGATCTCTTTCTCAGAATTCATCTCAGACTACGGCGAACGGAAGATCAGTGTCATTGACCCTGTTACCGGGAGGTTGAGTTTGCCTTCCAGTCCTCAGCTATCGACTGGTACTGCTACAAAACGTTCGACTCGCTCCAGTTTACCAGCTTCGTTGTCGCAGAGCGCCCGACAATCCAAAGTCACTATTGCGTCGAAGTCGAGCAAAGATCGTGAAAGTATCGCAACAAACCGATACAGAGACACGCGCCTAATGGATATTGCCGAACGTCAAAATGATGGACTCTTGTCTATGGCCAATCTTCGTTTCGGTGCCCTCATGACGAGCAAGTGGCTCTCATTTGGTCGTGTCCTATTCAGCCCCGTACACTTCGAGTTGAAAGACCCGAACGAGGATCGCGTACTTGTCATTGATGGTCTTGGCAAGGACTGGTCGTACTATTGCGCTCTCACTTACCCTGAGGCGACTGTGTATGACATGGGCCCTGATCCATCAACAAGTACGTCATCCGAGGGTGCGTCTGAACCATGGTCAACATTGAACAACCACCGCCACATCTGTCACCCCTCTCTCGGCAAAGCGTTCCCGTTCCCCATGCACTTCTTCGCTTGCGTCGTGCTTCGCTTCCCAACTGCACTTCCTTCGTCAGAGCACCGCTTCATCTTGTCTGAGGCCAAGCGCGTCCTGAGACCCGGCGGCTACCTTGAATTTAGTGTTCTTGACATGGACTTGGTCAATATGGGCAACCGTGCCCGTCGCGCTGTCCGCGGTTTGAAGATGAGAATGCAAGTAGCGGACGACAGCATATCGCTTCGAAACATCAGTGACGAGGTCATGGCCGGTATTGGACGCAAAGGCTTTGTCGACTGTAATCGCTGTGTTGTTGGCGTTCCAGTTGCCGGCAAACTCCCCAGCCTCGACGACGTCAAGCGTACAACTACGAAGAGGAAGGGCAGCACAGCAAGCTCTGCCAGCAACACAAACAAGACTATGCCTCTGCCCAAAGGACCAAAACCGGAATTGTCCTTCTCTGACCTTCTCAATGCCTCTGCGTCCTCCGATTCGACCGACAACGGCATCACCGACATGGTGGCGCGCGTAGGTCGTTGGTGGTACTCACGCTGCTATGAGTCGCTTGTCCTCCCTGAGGCTGGCGAACCTGGTGCCGCTGCTTCCGGTAACCTCCTTGAGACTAGTATCTGGCGCGATGAAAGCCTCATCAACGAGTGCGAAAAGCGCGGAACGAGCTTCAAACTCCTCATTGGCTACGCGAAGAAGCCTGAGGTTGGTGTTCGACGAACCGTCAGCGTCTAAACATCTTTTTCGATTCTCCTGAGCTGTGCTCCCAAAGCCCAGTGGGTTGTTTCCTTCACTACTGCTCGTAATGAGTCTTTGTTTTCTTCGGTTTCACTGGCGTTCTGCTGCGTTCAAGCGTTTGATTTCCCTTATACCCTCGTTCTGTTCTTCTTTCACTTAACTGCATAGCAAATGGCGGCTTAGCATTACAACTACTACTCAGAACGGCGCAAGCCTGGAAGCATCATCACGACCACGACACGCACAAACATCTATGTAATATCTTCTTCGACCTGGTTGATAGATGCTGGCATTGGACAACATTTGGGACGATTTGAAATTTAAGGGTAGTTTGATGGAAATAATACCCGGGGATGTCGATATGATACGAAGCGCTATGTAGATACGAATCACGGTCGCTGATCGATACGAAGAATGAACATAATCTATTCCGAAACTTCTGAGCGCAAACCCTAATAAATCAAGATGGTGAAAGAACTTACAGGCAGCCCTTTACTACGGGCTCCAGGTGCCAAGACCGCCAATCTCAATGCCTACAAGCGCCCCGTGCTTAAACCACTTTCATCAACCAATCACTTCCACCATCTGCAAGCACCTTCTCGCTTTCACCTCGCCCTTCATTCCCCTGCTAGCACTCTGCAGTCGCCCAGATCCGGATCACTATTTCTTTGAAAGAGTTGGAACGCAAGCGAAAGAAGTAGGAATCACGAGCAAAAATGAATCAAAACTTCCAGGGCGCGCCTGATCGGGAAGATATCAGGCTGTTGGATCAGCTTCGTAGTCAATTGATGCCGATGATCAAGACTATGGATCGATTGCAGGCGGAAATGCAGTTTAAGATGAGCCGCGGAGAAGCCGTAGATTGGTAAGTGAGAAGCGGAAAGCGGCGATGTTTACGTTGAGGTGTGGTTATGTTTGCCATGCAGCCTTGTTTCGTGCACGCGTCTCCTGGTGTCATGGTGACTAGATATGTCTCCTCGATGTTCATGACGGTATTTGTGCCGATTCCATAGTCTCTATGAGCATGCCTAAGATGCGCCGCTCTGATGGTTTCCTATTTCACAGGACACAAGCTAAAGAGACGCCAGGCCACAAATTCACCGAACAACACAGCTGGTAACATCTTACCTAAATTCGATACATCTTCTTATAAACGGTGGCTACCGTCATCAATCCAAACTCATCACCCAGAAACACCACGTCCCTTCAAAGGACGCCGCTGGTAACCCTGTGGTAGACAGCGCCGGCAATGCAGTCCTCGTTGAGCGCGACGTCCGCCGGAGAATGACCAGCATACAGGCCTTACCCCCCAACACAGCAAAGTTCGAGGCTCTTCATCCGTTTCCTAACCCTTCATTTCCGATGAACGCTGGTGGCGGCATGGCGGCGGGTATGGCAGGTACCTTGCTACGAAAGAGGCTAGAGCCCATGGAAGAGGGCTGGGTAGAAGAACGTATTCGCAAAGCATCAGAATGGTGTTTCGTGCCTGAAGAATGGGGCATTGGTCCTCGGAAGCCTGACGCAACAAGTGCGACAAAGCAAGACGCAACCGAAGACGAAGACGACGAAGATCAAGTCCCAGAGTCGGAACGTCTGGACTCGGAAGCTATACCGACTACCCGGGTCAAGAACCCACTATCTGCAGACGAGATTGTCGATTTATGGAAACATGCGCATCAGGAGGTCTTTGATCAAAAGTATCTGAGGCAGAAATACCCAGCTAGTTACCCTGATCCAGGTGCTCAGGACGCGGGTGAAGGCGAGGAAGAGGAGGAAGAAGGCGACGAGGAGGAAGAGGAAGAGGAAGAGGAGTTTGAGGATGTCATGGATACTTCTGGTGGGGCGGAAACAGCAGGACAGGATGCGGTAAAAGCGAAGGTGGTGAAGAAAAAGGTTACAGTAGGGAAGTTGCCGGTACATGAGCCGGTGGATGGTGTACCGGTGCTTTCGCTTGGGTTTGCGCACAAGTTCTCGGAAATCGGTGAGGTGTAGATGAGGGTTGGAGCAGTTCTGATATCACACGACTGAGGTTTATGCAAGCATGGTAATTGAGTCGATTCATCTAAAGTCTTCTGGGGTATCATAGTTCCTGCGCCTGACACCCTAACTCACTAACAGCAGGACTGCCTATGCACCTACTCGGGTCTGAGTGCGTACATCCTAACGGGGAATAGTTCCCTGGGCATTCCTCTTTGTTGCTCCGTTGCTACAATCTTCAGCCCCGCCTCTTGGAACAAGGCTCTGAACTTTTTGTCTGACCGCGTGACGCTCGAGTCCTCATCGTCGTAGATGTCCTTGTGGTGGATGTCGGTAGACATGTTCTCCTTGACTACGACCCAGCTCTTGCTTGTCGCATCTCCTTGGGCCGCCTTTTTCAAGCCCTCGCTACAACGGCGTAGGTAGACAACGAGTTGGGCGTCGGTCAAGTGTCCCACACACCACTGGTTCCAAATCACGTCGTACGCGCCGGGCTCAGGTATCCAGTCCTGCAAGCCTAGGTTTATGACCTCGCCCACCTGACCCTTTCTATCTTTGCTCTCTCCGTCACCGGCGTATTCTCCGTTTCCGAGGCTCTGCACCAACTCGTCTGTGAACTTCTTCACCGGCTCTACTATGTCCACCTTGTTGCTCACACCCAGCAGCAGGCCCTTTGTTATTCGTCCGATACCCGCACCGCAGTCTGCTACACGTTCCAGAGGCTGCAGGGGTTCTTTTGAGGCCTGGGATTTGCCACGGCGCAATTTGGTCAGGAAGTTGGAAGAACCCTGCAGGTCGATGCGCGAGGTTTGAGGAAAGCCGCCCAGCATGCCATTGACGTCTGGCGAGACGCTGTTCCAGTATTCGAGCGAGTGAGTAACGTCTATCGAGGCATCGGGGCGTTCGGCGTCGGGAGTCACCAGGGGTGGCTCTTCGGCCAAGTCCATTGTGGGGTCTGAAAGGGCGAGAGGGAGTTTGGAGAGAATCTGCGGAAGTTTGAGTAAGTGTGCTTGTTTGTGGGGACGAGTCTCGGTGCGAGCGTCTCGCGACATTGTGTGACGAACTTGAGTTTGGGCCGGTGCGTGGCAGCCAAAGACGTCAATTTGCGCAGGGCGGGAATAAGAAGTTGTTGGATGCGCGCGTCGAGCTTCTCATCGTGGTGGGGTGGGGTAGCTACAGGGCTGGTTGTAGCCGACTGTTGACGCCGACGCGTCGCGACTGTCCGCTACGCCTGCTCACATGATGGCGCCTGCCCCTCAACCTTCCGCGATGGGCAGGCATGTCGCGTCTCTAGTCTTGCGTGATGAGTAATTCAAACCACCGCGATGCTGTCGATAGGCGTGTACAAGGTGGAGTTGCAACAGTCGGAACAGGCAGTTGCATGCGGATAAGCTAGCTAGCTATGGGCATTTGGTGGGCACACGCGGGGTCCACACTATCAATCGAAGCTACCATTGTCCCCGCGGTCGTCATCAGCATCTTACATGTCTGCAGCCTATAGATAGCGAGCTGTCTCCTCGCCAGCCAAGGACATGTCCTGTCTCTTCTCCGCCCTCACACGCGCCTCACTTCGCTCCAAACCATCTCCTCCTTTCAAACCCTCAATACGCAGAGCTCCCACAAGTAGTTGCCGTCCTTTGTGGAAATACTACAGCACCCAAAGCAACATGTCCGACCTCTTCGTTGAGCTGACTGCGCCCAATGGTCGCAAGTACCAGCAGCCAAGAGGTCTTTTCATCAACAACGAATTCGTCAAGTCCAAGTCAGGTGAAACCATCACTTCCATAAACCCGAGGTATGCCTGTCCGTTTTCTTCCTTGGAAGTGGTTGACATTTGGTAGTGATGAGAGCGATATTGTATCTGTATATGCGGCTGGGCCCGAAGATGTCGACGATGCCGTGGCAGCTGCACGGAAAGCCTTCAAGAACCCAGACTGGCGAGACATGGACACTAACGCGCGAGCTGACCTTCTCTACAAGTTTGCCCAGTTAATCGAGGAACACAAGGAAACGCTAGCGACGATTGAAACCTGGGACAACGGCAAGCCTTACTCCGTCTCACTGAATGACGACTTGGGCGAAGTTGTCGGTACTATCAAGTACTACGCAGGATACGCCAACAAGATTCACGGCACAGTCATTGACACCTCACCTGCCAAGCTGGCGTACACAGTCCGTGAGCCACTTGGTGTCTGTGGCCAGATCATCCCGTACGTAATCATCCATGTCGAAAACATGCCCTGCTGATCACGGCCAGATGGAACTTCCCTCTTGCAATGGCGGCATGGAAGCTGGGACCTGCTCTCTGCACCGGCAACACAGTGGTCTTGAAGGCCGCCGAACAAACACCCCTTTCTATTCTGTATCTTGGAAACTTGGTCAAGGAAGCTGGCTTCCCTCCTGGCGTTATCAACTTTATCAACGGTGAAGGAAGGAAGGCTGGTGCCGCTTTAGCCCAGCATCTCGACGTCGACAAGATTGCCTTTACTGGATCCACCGCTACAGGAAAGGAGATTATGAAGATGGCAGCTGTCAACATGAAGAACATCACACTTGAAACGGGTGGCAAATCGCCACTAGTAGTGTTTGATGATGCAGATCTTGATCAAGCAGTCAAATGGAGTCACGTCGGTATCATGTAGGTCATCTCCTTTTTTTCTAATAAGCTAAGCTGACACTGTGGAGGTACAACCAAGGCCAGGTTTGCACGGCGACTTCAAGAATTCTTGTGCAAGAAGGCATCTATGATAAATTCGTTGAAGCTTTCAAGGAGCACGTCAAGACCACCTCTGTGGTTGGCGACCCCTTCAAAGACGACACATTCCAGGGACCTCAGGTTACCAAGACGCAGTTCGACCGCGTTCTGTCATACATTGAGTCTGGCAAGTCAGAGGGCGCCACTCTTGTAGCCGGCGGAGAAGCGTACAAGAACGTTGGCGGCAAGGGCTTCTTCGTCTCGCCTACTATCTTTACTAATGTCAAGGACAACATGAAGATCTACCGCGAAGAAGTGTTTGGTCCGTTCGTCGTCATCAGCTCGTTCAAGGAGGAAGACGAGGCGATTGAGCGTGCTAACGACACGACATATGGTCTTGGCGCAGCAGTCTTCACTGAGAACATCACCAAGGCTCATCGTGTTGCTAGGCGGATTGAAGCGGGTATGGTCTGGATCAATTCAAGCAACGATTCTGACATTCGCATCCCATTCGGAGGTGTGAAGCAGTCTGGTATCGGCCGAGAGCTGGGAGAGGCTGGACTCGAGGCATACACCAACAAGAAGGTACGTCGCACCAACAAAGAGACATTCAGGGCCGGCTAACATAATGACTAGGCCATCCATGTCAACCTAGGAAACAAGCTATAGTGGACATGTATACTATGCAAAACCAAGATGCCAGTGACAAGCCTCGAAACTGTGGCCAGGTGCTATGTGTGGAGTCTTGCAAGGACACCAAATAAGGTCACATGTGCACCCAAGATATCCGCCCTTGGCGCCACGGCTTGGGCTGTTGACGTGCTAAAGGAAGTGGAGAAGGCACAAGTCAACATGAATGCAAATGTCGGTGAAAAGTGTTTGTCGTAAAGCCATGGCTCTCCTGACACGTGTGACGTTCTGCAGGTACGCGCTCAATACCCCTTGGGCAGCGAGAGAAAATGTCGCAACGGCGGGATGTGGAAAGTGACCTTGGGCGCATGTGCAACAGTGTAGTCGCGCCGCCTAGCAGCGGAGCAAGAATGCTTGCGTAAGCTCTCGAAGGCGACTAGCGGAGAACAGGGCTCCGAGGAGCGTTGGAACTGCAAGTTTATTTATTCCCACAGCTTGGGCGAACTGCTGATAGTGGGCCCATGATGTCGTTCGTGGGGTCAGTGTGAGCGGCTCTGTGAACAGGATTGGCATTTTGCAGGTGTTTCCATGGGCACGTGAAGGTGTGCAGCGGCGCGTGTACGCTGTCCATGGCAGCGTCTGTGATGTGTCGCTCAGGATGTGGTCGGATATACCGAAAAGAGGCGGTTCGCTTTGGGTGCCCAGTCGTCATCCTTGTCCTTATCTTGGCAGCCTGCTCTCTCCAACTTCGCTACTGTCTGCGGCGCACTCTCTCCACTGTGTCTGCCCCTCTCACGAGAATCACTCGAGCTGTTCCCTTGTTGCTGTCGCCACCGTCTTCTCGCAGTGCAGGTTGTGTACTGCCTCGACTTTGTGGTTGTCTGGGCTCCTGCTAGTTTGCCCTCGTTGATGCGCTAGTGGTGCTTCCAACGCTGCTATTCACCGGTCCGCAGAGCCCGAACGACGCCAGCTCGCCCACCAGCGTCACTGCCCATGCCCTGGCTCCAACTAAGGTTTGCGGCTGACATCGCAACTAAATCCCCGCTCTGCTCGCGTAGAGGCTGATATCATCGCTGCTACTACTACTATTATCACTACCACGACACCCAGTCCCATCAGCACAGCCACTGCCCGCACATCGTGAGCCTGCCCAACCCGCCCACAGCCCGCACACCATCGACCTGGCGCGCACGCTGGAAGACGATCGCTCCCCCGTCGCCTCGCCCAGCCTCGCCTGCCAGTCTCTGAGGCAGATAACGACAGCGCCGACGGAGGCACGCTTCCTTGCTTTTCTCGCTCGCCTCTACCGACCGCCCTAACGCCCTCTCTACGCGTGGCCTACCTACCTTTTCTACACATCACCTGAGAGCGTGCTTGCACTTGGCATCGTCGCTTCCGGGCATCTCTGGAAGGAACCAAGCGCACCATCGCCGCGTCTTTCACACACCAACAAACACCGCCGCTGTCGCTTTCCCACTGTATGGGAACAGACACGACTGCTCTCTTCCAAAACATACACACATACTAGACTTGTATACACGCTCGCTTAGTCCACAGTCGCCATCATGGGCAACCAGCAATCGAGCGGCAAGGACAAGAAGGGCGAGAAGGGCGGTGCTGACGGCGTGCCCCTCGGTCGCGAGTACTACCGCTCCTTCGAGAGATCGGACACCAAAGACTCTACGCGCTCACTACGCAACTCACTACGGAACAAAATACCAGGGACCGGCAAATCCGACAGCCCGCGCAACTCAGTCGCTGGTCTTAACGATGTCAACGGCAAAGCTGACAAGTCAGATGCAGCTTCCACCAAGTCGAGAGGTTCGCGGCGGGGCTCCGTCGCTTCAGCTTCAGCAACCGTGCCACCAGATGCGTCTCCAGATGTTGCTGATAAGGCTGATCAAGATCAAGACGAAGACGAACCGCAAGCGCCGCCTTCGCCTGTCCACGGTGCAACTCTCGGAACAGGACATGAAGGCGTGAGCAAGGCTCAGCGAACCGGTGAAGTCGACCACGTCTCTGACGTCCCTCCAACAGGAGCAGCACAGCCTTTGGCCTCTGCTCAGCCGGGAGAGTCAATTCTGCAGAGGAAGGACCAGCCAATACCTAGACTCCCAGAGCCCCCCGCGCCCACTGACGGTTCGGGCTCTCCCATGGAGCTCACCGCGCTCAAGACCATGGATCTCGACGATATGATTCAGCGACTCTTGGACGCAGCTTATGCCGGAAAGGTCACAAAGACAGTCAGCCTAAAGAACGCTGAGATATTCGCAATCTGCTCGGCCGCTCGAGAAGTCTTTCTCAGTCAGCCCGCGCTGCTTGAGCTCGCTCCACCTGTCAAGATCGTCGGCGACATCCACGGACAGTACACTGATTTGATCCGCATGTTCGAGATGTGCGGATTCCCACCAAATTCCAACTACCTATTCCTAGGCGACTATGTAGATCGCGGCAAGCAAAGCTTGGAAACCATCCTACTCCTTCTCTGCTACAAGCTCAAGTTCCCCGAGAACTTCTTCCTCCTACGCGGCAACCACGAATGCGCAAACGTTACACGTGTATACGGTTTCTACGACGAATGCAAGAGGAGATGCAATATCAAAGTCTGGAAGGCTTTTGTGGATACATTCAATACACTCCCTATCGCGGCTATTGTTGCGCAGAAGATTTTCTGTGTGCATGGTGGATTGTCCCCAAGTTTGTCACACATGGATGATATCAGGCAAATTGCGCGACCCACCGACGTGCCCGACTACGGCTTATTGAACGATCTGCTATGGAGTGATCCTGCGGATATGGAGAATGACTGGGAGTCCAATGAGAGAGGCGTCAGTTATTGCTTTGGAAAGAAGGTCATCATGGAGTTCTTGGCAAGACACGACTTTGACCTTGTTTGCAGAGCTCACATGGTGGTAGAGGATGGTTATGAGTTCTTTACTGATCGAGTGTTGGTCACTGTATTCTCAGCACCAAATGTAAGTGCTACTGAAGCTCTCACTATTAGGTTTCTGCTAACACTGCCTAGTACTGCGGCGAGTTCGACAACTGGGGCGCCGTTATGTCAGTCTCAGGAGAATTATTATGCAGTTTCGAGCTTCTCAAACCCCTCGACTCGAGTGCACTCAAGAGCCATATCAAGAAGAGCCGAAACAAGCGTCAAAGCATGCTCAACTCACCAGTACGTATCGCAACTGAGCTTACTGGATCTTGTTTGATTCAGGGCTCCCCATTGTATCTATAGCAGTACTGACTTTGGCTTGTAGCCCGCACACTACGCACCTCAAAGTTACTAATCTTGTACTTTGGTGTAGGATGCCGACGGTTTCCCTTTCCCTGAATCGCCAATTATCGCAAAAACGGCAACCATACCACAAGAACAAAACTTTCAAGAGTCTGTAGATGCTGTTACTACGATGATGGCGATGACAATGACGGATGAACCGGTGAGGCGAGGTCTGTCCCAAAAACTGCGACGCGTGCGAAGGAAGCCGGGGTTGGAACAACTGGGCAGTCAAGATGATGGTGCTGCCATAACAGCTCCTCACAAACAAGGACACAACAGAGCAAACACATGGGCAAACGAATGGCGACAGGCTGTTACATTGCCCACGAGCCTGAGCGAGCCACAGCTTTTGCGGCGTGCACAAGGATACATCGCAGACGCTCCGAACACGGAAAGACGGAAGCAGAAGCTTGGAGAGCAACGGACGTTGTGGGAGTCGACTTTGCCTAAGACTCCATCGGATCGTATGGGCTACTTCTCAACCGGGCATCATCTCGACCATGTGCACCCTGATGAGACGCCGCCGCTGTGAAGGACCTTGCACAGGCGTTTCAATCTCATTACCTCTTCGTTTCACTATATGTGTATTCCGCATTGACAGGCGCCGGCGCACAGCGGCATGAGGCATGAACTTTGGTAGCCTTATCGATCATTGGACTATGGATGCTTGAATTGAGACTTTTCTTTTCTTGCCATGCTCCGTTTGCAGTATTGACAGACGAAGCGCGTTGTATAGCATATAGCATACTGATGACATATCATCGTCTTCAAAGTAATCTTGTTCTTAGAGCTACCATCTTATGTTCCTGTATCCATCAAGATACTATTGCTGCATACCCTTCGAAATAGTCGTTGCTGAGATTTATGATCATGTCGTCTTCACAATGAAGCCGGACTAGGCGGTAGCTCACCCGTTGCCCAACGACTAGGACTGGTTCCCATCACATACTCCATCGTACCACCCTTCTCAAATACATCTTCCCAAGCTACCCACGCTTTGTCCCACGTCTTGCCGTTGACCTTCAGGCTCTGCACGTAGGGTGCCGAGTTTCGATCGCCACCGTCACTGAAAGTGGTAGTAATGATAATTTTATTCCCATTCCCAAGGTCGAGACTAAGCTGAGGGAACCAGGGAGAAAGCACAAGGAAGGTAGTTTGACCTGTCAGTGGATACAGACCAATCATTTGCCACTGTTCGGAACGTTAGTCACGACTCCAAAGAAGCCTAACCATGAGAATGAGATGAACTTACAAGAAGATTTCCTTCCATGGCACCAGCATCAGAATTCCCCGGTAACCCTTCCACCCCAGCGTTGTACAGCCTGCCAATCGTCCTACTTCTCTCCACACTCCGCCATTGCTCTCCGACCACAAAATTGTACAAGTACGGTATCGTGAAACTAGGTTCATTCCCCGCGTCGAAGAAACCCAATTCGAAAATTTTGTTCAACCGGTCGATGAAGCGTTCGTCGCCGCCAATACGCCGCTTTAGCTCCGCGACGTCATGGATTGCATTCATGCTGTAGATCCAACTACTGTCTTCATAGTACGCATCACCCCAGTAACAACCACCGCAGTCCGCAGGATCCTGCTTTGCGAATGACCCATTTGCATAACGCGGGACCATGAAGCCAGTGTGGTTGTTGGACGTAGCTGCGTCATCCCAGTGGTTACGCCAGTTGCGGGATCGGTTGAGGTAGCTAGATGCTTCTTGGGTTCTGCCTAATCCCGCTGCGACAACATGAAGACCGTAGTCGTTTGTGGAGTATTCGACAGCGCGTGAAACAGCGCGGGTGAAGCGAGGCGTGATGTACCCGTGCTGGAGCCAATCTGGGAGGGCTCCCCTTCCTTCTTTCGTTGAAGAATCAGGCGCTTTAGGGTCGAAATTATTTGGAGGTACGACTTCGGCGTCGGTACGCATTGCAGAGTAGCCATCTTCCCAACTTATTGCTCCTCGAACGCCTTTGATGTAGGCGTCCGCGAGCACGTTGTCAGGGTTGGAACCGCCCTGGACCCGGCCGTTGTAGTTTGAAGATCGCGCATCAGGCATGAAGCCGTCGTGTCGCCAGATGTCAATGAGGGAGCGAATGAATTCTCCGTATGCCAGGGGGTGGATGATGTGAAACAGAGCTGTGTGGCATTTGCTTGTGTCCCATAGAGAAAAAACGTCATCGTAATAAGGTTCCCCTTCGTTCCAATCGGGATTTTCGCCTGTTCGGTTTGAGGGAATGAGAAACATGCCATAGAGAGAGCTGTATACCAGCTGCAAGTCTTCTATGTTTTCGGAGGATATCTGGACTTTGCTGAGTATCTCCTCATTCCATCTAGTTCTTGCAACTTCGACTAGGCTATTGAGCTCGGTGTCTTGTGAGATTTCTTCTAGGTTCTCGCAAGCTTTGTCGGTAGAGAGGAATGAGATACCAACACGAGAAGTCACCTTTGATGTGGGGAATGTGAAAACACCACCGAGCCGTGCAGTTCCAGATACCGGCTCGCTTGTGGCGCTAGCGTTTCCGATGAATGTCCTTGATCGCAGAGGTTGCTGGTTGAACTTGCCGCAGAAGTAAATCGTCCAGTCTGGTGAAAGATTCCAACCATTGTTGTAAATTCCAGATCCCTCATAGTGACCATCTTTAGAGATACTAAAACTACCGCCTGAGTAATGTTGTTCCCAACCAAGGCCTCTAAAGCTGGAGAGTACACGCGAAACATCGACTACGATAGATGACGATGTGTTATCTGGAAAGGTGTACAAGTACAAGCCGGCATACTGAGTAGCACTCAGCTCTACTGTGATCCCATTTGCCAACGAAGACTTGTAGTATCCTACACCTGCTTGATCCGGTGATGCTCGCGGTTGTGACAAATCTGCCAGAGGGTCCGGTACATCACCCGTAACGGGCATCTGACTTACAACACCGTATTTCGGCGCGCCTCCAGTTCCGGACTCGTGCATCATACTGAACCCGAAGATATTGCCTTCGGGGAGGTAACCGGAGTAGGCGTCAGCATTTCCATTCTGAACGTCTGGTCCAAGCTTGACCATGGCGAACGGAGCGGCAACTACGCCTGGAAACCTGTTTCCACCACCCTGTGTTCCTTGACTAGTGGCTGTGAGTATCTTAATGATGAAAATGGAACGTGTTACTTACAACACGTTGACATGTTGGCTGTAGTCATTCTGTGCCTGCACGGATACAGCTGAGATGAGTATCAAGGACCGACAAACAACCGTAAGGACAGATAGTCTCGCAAAGACCGTCATAATCGCAGTCTGCAGAGGAAACATGCTGTAAATCATTCTGTGATGGAGAGCCTGTCAAGCTGGGTAGGCTACAAACATGCGCCGTTTTGTACGTAGCTAATTACTAGTCGCATCCACACTCCCAGCGTCACTGGTACCTCGAAAAAGAAATTAAACAGGTACCAGTCAATGCTGCCCAGAGAGCTCGGATTCCAATGAGCGGTATCCGCTTGACGGTATGTATAGCGCAATATCTATCGTGTGGCTAACTTGTGGCTATGCGTGCCGTATGTGCCGTGCATGCCGATCGGTCCGGGCGGTTCAAGCAGTATAGGGGTACGAAGAAGATGAAGATAGACCAAGAGTACGAATAGAAACGACCGACAACCGTATATAATGGCCCATGTTCCGCTGTTTGTGCCGTGCTATATGCTGTACCTTTGGTTATTGTGGGGTGTAATGAGATAGCCAGCTGACCAATGAGATCTCATGATACCAACATGTGTGAGCGACAAGTCGCTATTAAGACTGTAACACCTGCGTCAACCGATCAACGATTAGGAAGGAAGGTGTATCTGACGTAGATGTTGGGAGACAACGTAACTGATTGGAAAATTACCACCCGCCTGCTCGATTACTGAGCAGCGGCTGAATTGTCTCAGTGATTTACACCTGCCGGGCCGTATGCAAAGCTACCGTCATGTAGGTAGATTGTACAACGCAACGTGCAAAAACATCATCCGAAGTCCCGATATGTTCATGTTCATGTTCGTGTGCATAGAAAGCTCGCACTAAGACTTGTTCTGAGAGAGCCTTAGTCCTTTGACCAACCCGCGAGATTCTGAACGATAGGGTTCCTGCCACCCCTTGTGATGATCCAAACGACATCCTCGTCGCTCTCATTGATCTCTTGATGCTCTGCATACGCGGGTATAAGTGCAAAATCTCCCGGTGCTAGCTCTTGTCTCTTGTTACCATTTGATCCGCTCACGATGGCGCCATGGCCCTTTGCTGCGTACACAATGGTGTCTGCCAAGTTATCAGATTGCTGCTTCTGTAAGATTGCACGAACGCTGGTTCGTGTAGAGCGGATGATACGGGTGCACGATTCGAGACACACCTTCTTCGCCGTGATGATGGACTGCAGAGGCTGTATGAGGTTTCGCAATCATGACTATCGCCGTCAGCAGTCGTGGAATTAGTAAACTATGTCGGTCCTACCAGTGCCACATAACTGATCTGACATGTTTACGATTGCAGGCATGCGAATCATGCCATCGGTCTGCGGACCATCCGGAGCCTGGATCTCGGATCCTTTTTTTACTTGCACCTCTCGAGACATGGCGTATTGCAAAAGTACTGAATCGCGAACAGCAGGCAAGTAGGAGGTTTCATGACGAAGTAGTTGGAGGCGTCGAGCTATGACGCCGGCTTGATGCGGAGACCCCACACGCGACGCGTTGGAAGGATTGCCAGTCAACTTGGTCTGGGGTCCTAGCTTGACGACGTGAAATGTCGCGTCCTACCCAGGATCAAAGTAATCATGTCAACGGGTCGTCAAGCATCTGAATGTCAGCCTCTGCTTGTCGGCATGTGAAGAATGCGCGCCGCGGAAATGTCGACACGTGAGCGTCCCGATGCAGCAACCTTGAAATGACCTCGGCATCTACGCGTATGACGTTAAGTTTCAAACAGCAAGTCACCCGGTCAATGACGGCAGCGACCAATTGCAGCGCTCGCAAAGCAGCGCACGAGATCATCAGACAGCGGCTCGCTGCACTCCGAAATGCGCTATATGCGGCCGACCTTCAGCAGCTGGCGGTTTCCCCGGATTACCTTGGCGCGTGGAGCAGTTGCTGGCATGTGAAAGGATCCCGAAACTTGCTAAGCCTCTTATAAGTCAGTAAGGGTTGTCTTGTGATTAGTGACACCTCATCGTTCTGCTCTCCTTACTCGCACCCTCTCCTCCCTCTGCATATTGACAGATCAACATGTCGAAACGCTTCTCAGCAGCTGACGTCGCGTCGCACAAGACAGCAAGCGACCTATGGATCATTGTAGATGAGGATGTCTACGATCTGACCAACTTCCAGGAAGAGCATCCCGGAGGCAAGAAGAGTACGTCGGCGCTTCTTCTGCAAACCTCAAACCCAAGACTAACTATTCCAAGTTCTTTCGCGCGTCGCAGGAAAGGACGCCTCAAAGCAGTTCTGGAAGTACCACAATGACAGCATCCTCAAGAAGTACCAGAAGCTCCAAGTCGGATCGCTAGACACCAAGGCTGCTCCCCCGGCTCCTCCAGCAGCGGCTGCCCCCGAACAGAAGGCGGAGAAGAAGAAGGATGTGGTCAAGCCAGAGGCCAACTCTGGTGTTATAGCGCCACAGCCAACTGAGGCTGCTGCTGAGGAGGCTGAGCCTTTCGATGCTTATGGCGACCTAATCCCTTACGCAGACCCATCATGGTACCAAACGGTACGTCAACCTACGGACGACACATTGGCGTCGCTAACACAAAGCCTAGTACCACTCTCCCTACTTCAACGATACACACGTAGCCCTCCGCGACGAAGTCCGCCAATGGGTCGAAGAGAAACTTATGCCCAACGTGACTGAATGGGACGAAGCAAAGAAGGTACCCGACGAGATATATCAGGAGATGGGCGAGCGCGGGTACCTTGCTGGTATGCTGGGCATCCACTTTCCCAAAGAATTGACAGACCGGAGAGTTCAATGTGTGCCACCGGAGAAGTGGGATCACTTCCACGAGATGATCATTACGGATGAGCTGTCAAGAACAGGCAGTGGTGGTCTTGTCTGGGGTCTGATCGGAGGATACGGCATCGGCGCACCGCCTCTGTTCAAGTTCGGCAAGAAGGAGCTTGTTCAGCGCATTGGACCAGACATCCTGAGTGGAAAGAAGAGGATTTGTCTCGCCATCACTGAGCCTGGTACGTTCTGCCGACCTGGTTGAAATTTCCGAACAACTTACTGATCGTGACAGACGCTGGTAGCGACGTTGCGAACTTGGGCTGCGAAGCCAAGCTCTCCGAAGACGGGAAACACTACATCGTAAACGGCGAGAAGAAGTGGATCACCAACGGCATCTGGTCTGATTACTTCACCACCGCCGTACGCACAGGCGGCGAGGGCATGAACGGTGTATCGGTACTCCTGATTGAGCGCAGTGCCGGTGGTGTCTCCACACGCAAGATGGACTGCCAGGGTGTATGGAGCAGTGGCACCACCTACGTGACCTTCGAAGACGTCAAGGTCCCCGTGGAGAACCTGATCGGCAAAGAGAACCAAGGCTTCAAGGTTGTCATGACCAACTTCAACCATGAGCGTATCGGCATTATCATTCAATGCTTGCGCTTCGCCCGCGTCTGCTACGAAGAGAGCGTCAAGTACGCACACAAGCGCAAGACCTTCGGCAAGCGCCTCATCGACCACCCCGTCATCCGCCTCAAACTGGCACACATGGCCCGCCAGATCGAGGCGAGTTACAACTGGATGGAGAACCTCATCTACCAGTGTCAGAAGATGAACGAAATGGAGGCTATGCTGAAGCTTGGTGGCGCTATTGCCAGCTTGAAGGCGCAAAGTACCACAACGTTCGAGTTCTGTGCTAGAGAAGCAAGTCAGATCTTTGGTGGTCTGAGCTACAGCCGTGGTGGACAAGGTGCCAAGGTGGAGAGACTATATAGGGATGTCAGGGCCTATGCCATCCCCGGTGGCAGCGAGGAGATTATGTTGGACTTGTCAATTAGACAGGCCTTGCGGGTACATAAGGTGCTCGGCATGAAGCTGTAAACCTTCACAACATTAGTCTAAACCATATGTACCAATACCATACATCGTCTTCAGTTGCGATGTTTGAGCCTGTTGCAGAGTGTCAATGTTCAGAGTGATGGCGCCAGCCGCGAGAGATGACAGCTAAAATCGTTTCTATGATTGGAGAATCCGTCATCACTCCACAACATTAGTTTCGCAAAGCAACTCGACGACTACCACAAACATTTGCGACCGTTCATACCGGACACTGCAGTCAAAATTCAAGCCATCCGCGACATGCCGGCAGCCCTAAGTTCTGGTCGAGGGCCCCCGCGGAAGCCCCACCAGCTGCAGTTCCATCTACGGCAGTTGCTGCCCAGCTGCCGATACTATGGTTGAAGCAACTTGTGACTGCATAAAGATTACATCCCATTATCTCACTGGTAGTCTCGCAGTGGCGAGTAGTATCATTACGCCATATTTGTGGTATGTCCAGGCGTCCTGAATATAGGTCTTTACCCATACAACGTATAGATGACCAACGTACAGGGTACATCATCTCCACGTGTATGTTGTACACTCTCTGGATGTATTCGTGAGGCGTTGCAACGCGGAGAGAAGATCGTTCTAATCAATCGAACAGCAGAGTCCACTCCTTTTACACAGCGTGCTACAAGGCTGCCCCTGTAATGGGTCATCTTGGCTCTAGATGCCGACCTCACCGTAGTACTGGTAGCTACATAGGAAGCGGGGTACGAAGCAACGCCGTCAAAATTTGGGTCAAGAGCAACATGGCTCAATATATCACCATCTCTGCATCTGGAAACGAAACAGATGATGTATCATCGAGATGAACACCAATTAACAGCTGACCGGGGACGACATCTCAGCTCGCATACAAAGCATGTACATCAAATACTGGTATAAAGTTTGAATAGAATGTGTAAAAGCACACAGTCAACCACCGCAGTCTCGACAAGATCAGACACACCAGATCCTCCGTACAACACCAAATCACACCAACAGACAACATGGCTCCCGTAACCGAAGTACCCCGAAAGGTCGAATGGAACGGCAAGCAGGTTCCGGTCTACCCTATGGAGACAATCGACTTCTCTGCGATCCTCTCCCAAGAGCCTGCCGAGCTGGAGAAGCTTCTCCAGTGCTGCAAAGAGCAAGGTTTCTTCTACCTGGATCTCAACAACGTTGATGGACGTCGGTTCATTGACGACCACCAGGAGCTGTTGAAGCTTATGCATCGATTTTTTGAGTCTCCTCTTGAGGTTAAGAACGAATATGGACTGATAGCTCCTCATCTTGGGTAAGCTTAGAAACCCAGATAGCATATGCCCTCTCCATATACTTACAATTTCCAGATACGAGCCAGTTGGTTCGCGCAACGGCGTTCTCGAGGACACACGGGATGGCTACGAGATGGTGAAGGTATCTCGCGATGAGATTCAACGCGAGTCCCCTCACATTCCTCGCAACATCAAGAATAGCGGTGATCTCAAGATCCTTGAGAATGCCATCTCTGGCAACAACATCATGGGGAAAGCCATTCTGGCAGCTCTCTCGACGGCGTTCGGCCTTACTGGTGCTGCGCGCTTTGAAAACTTGCATCGCAACCACCGCCCTTCGACAAGCACTTTGTCCATGATGCACTATATCCCGTCCAACCCTGCTAAGGACGGTAACGTCGGTCACCAGAAGCATACTGACATCAGTTCGTTGACCGTACTCTTTACTGAGCAGTGGGGTCTCCAAATCCGCCCACCCGGCAGCAAGGAATTCGGCTTTGTCGAGCCCAAGAAGGGTCAAGCTATCATCAACGTCGGTGATTCATTGCGCTTCGCTAGTGGCCACACTTTCCAGTCGTGCATTCACCGTGTTGTGCCGTACAACTACAGCGAACATCGCTACTCCGTTGCATACTTTCTGCGCGCTGAGGACGAGACCATGTTCCAGGACAGCGAGGGCAGATTCGTTACAGCACGCACGTGGCACGATGAGAAGTTCTTGGCTTTCCTTGCATCGCCTGCAGACCAGGCTGCTGCTCCAAGCTCTATGTTGTTGGGCGGCATGCAGGAGGATGAGACTGATGTTTACAGCCTGCCTCAACCAAAGCCTGTTGCTGCGGACGCGGCCAAGAGCTCTACTGTCGAAGTGACCACCGTTGAGATTAGTGCTTAGTGGAAACCCCTCTGGTCCATGTGTTCCGTGGCACGATCTTACGAAATGTTCCAGATAAATTGTATATAGCAAGCAAAATATCTTGTGCAAAAGTATATATGGCTATGTGTTATCTTCAATGTCCAATGGTATCGCGATCACAAGTTGAATGTTAATTGCCTGAGAAAAGACGTGATATTCCCTATTACATCATGATTCACACGCATACAGACACTAAAGTCAGGGGTATAAGTGCGTATGGGGAATACTCCACATAAGGCGGCATCGAAATAGAGTACATTTACTGGGATGTGTCAAACCCTGGATATTGGCTAAAAAGCGCATTTTCCGCCACTTGGCACTATACGTAACCTTCGAAAAACCTGGGTGAAATACCAATTTCACCGTCTTCAAGTACAGCATTGAGGCGACCGTCATGCTACTCATTTTGGCATTGCTTTATGCTCCCAGTGTCCACGCATGTGACAAAGAACACCATTACCGCCACCACGATCGCCATTTGGAACGACGCGATACTGCTCCTGTTTTCCCGCCAACTTTGACGGTGAATGAAAAGCTTTTGGCATCTTCCTTTGATAACACGTCTATAGCATCGTGGTCGAGCTACTACTGTAAGAACTGGTTTGCTGATCTGCTGTTCTCGTCCTTTGAAAATGCTCATCAGGTCTCACAGCACATAGACGAAACCTCGCAGGCGAAGGCGAAACGGTTCCAAAGTGGACTGCAGAACGCTGGAATGAGCATGGCTTCGAAACAAGACTAGACAGTTATCGTAGGTAGCTTCTATTGGTTGCTCAGACATGTGGGCTGATCGAACCTAAAGACGTCTACCTTGATTACCCAGTTCATCTTTCTCTTTCTCTTGACCATGGAAACGGTAGTACCTACCACGCAACACTCGAAGAAGAGATACTCGAAGAGGATGGGCCTACCGGCGATGCTGACAGAGTTCCTGCTTTTCATGGGTACTCTGGGTCAGGTGATGCATCGGCTGAGTACATCTACGTTGGTACGCGTTCCTCCAAAAAGCACATGCATGAGATCAGAAGCTGAGTTAGTTAGGCCGAGCTTCTCAAGAGGACTTCAAACGTCTTCTAGCCCTTAATATCACCCTTGAAGGCAAGATTGCTCTAGCAAAATACGGTGGTCCATTTCGCGGCCTTAAAGTAAAGAATGCGCAGACTTTTGGCATGATTGGAGCTGTGATCTTCACCGATCCGGGAGACGACAGGAACATGGCAGCTGGAAACTACGCTACGTATCCCGATGGACCTGCAAGGAATCCAACAAGTATCCAGAAAGGCAGTGTGATGGATTTGAGCACCTACCCAGGAGATCCCACGACACCGGGATATCCGTCTAAAGAGGGCGTAGTGAGAAAGGAGAAGAAGACTGTACCGAAAATTCCGAGTCTACCAATCTCTTGGCTTGAAGCAAAACCACTGCTGGTCGCTCTGAACGGTCATGGTTTTGATGCAAAGACTGTGAATCGACTGAATTGGGTGGGTGCAATAGATGGGGTTGATTACAGCACAGGACCGTCAAAAGCTGTGCTGTCGATAAGCAACATTATGAGGGGCGAGACTAACTGGATTCATAATGCTATCGGTATTGTGAATGGTACGAACGAAGACGAAGTTGTTATCGTAGGCAACCACCACGACTCTTGGATGATCAGAGTTGCTAACAATCAATCCAAACTGATGAGACTGACTGACTGACTGATTGCTTGGCAGTCAGTTCAGTGTCAGTTTAGAGCTCTCGTCTTATCAGTCAGTTCAGTTTAGAGCTCTTAAACTGA